AAAATAATTATAACAATAAATAAAAATTATAAATAATATATTTAAATAAAATAAAATATATATTTATAAAAAATATTATCACCAGATTCTGGGAATGAATTGTCGGGTCCTTGCCAGATGCATCCGATTATTTTCGGTTTAAGTTTGTACGTCTTTGTATTTCTTTCGGCTTCAAATTGTTCTCCCAATATCTTTAATTTCATCTTCTGTGTTTGCGGTGTCTGTAACAAAAGCAAACGTCTTACGTTGATCTGTATTTCAAAGTAAAATTTTTATATATGAGTATAGTTTTATCATTACAATATACTTACCATATCTTCTACTTCCTCCTCATCAGCCTGCGCTTCTTCCTCGGATAAGTATCTAAATTACAAAACAATTTATTTTTAATTTTTATATAAATATGCGTAAATATTCGAAGAAGAATATAAATTCAAGAAATTATTTTTATAATTTTAAGATTGCATTTGAAATTTATAAAACTACAATGTCCATTTCTATAAGATATTTTCTTTAGAAATGAAATTCAGTCACACACACAATAAATAACAAATATTTGCAATTTGTTATCTCACATTCTGCAACTATTTCGATTGTTTAAAAAATTAATTATGACAAAAAAAAAAGAAAAAATATTAGTAACATTTTTGAAATGTATTTTATTTAATGTTTAATTAATAATTTCGATATATTTAAGTCCTTTCTTTTGTATGGCTTACCCGTGAGGCACCATAAACTCATTGTCGACGTCGTATTCGTTTTCTTCCAGATTTTCTTCGTCCTTCTCATCGTCAGATCCTTTGAGAGACTCGCCAGGCTCTTCTTCTTCCCATTCATCATCAGAATCGATTTCGTAATCAAACAGATTCTGAAAAATAAAATATATTTATACATATATATTCGTAAAATGTACGGATTTTTTCCAATTTATTTTTTAGATATTTAAACAAATTTGATGTAAATTATCTCTAGTTCTTGCAAATGTCAAACTTATTAGGAGAGCAAATGTCAAACTTATTAAAAGAGATAAAAAATTATCTCTTTCCTAATTATATATACCACAAACAGCTCTAGATTTTAACAAATAGTAATCAAAAGATTAACAAATCACATGTTGTAATGACTATTTTTCTAATGAATACTTTTCATAGATATTTCGTTTGAAAAAGTTTTCGTGTTTTTTTCTTAATTCAGATAGTGTCCGTCAATCGTGATCTCGTCCTATCGTAGTTTTTACACATTGTCGTCGACTGGTTTATTTGAGTTTCAACCACCGCAGAATCTCGTCATGAATAAGCAGGACGTCGATATCAAAGGAACTTCCTTGACGAGCGATATCTCGGCTTTGCAACCATCTCCAACGTGCTGGTCCACTCGTATTCTCGATTATCTTATTGTTAGTCACGGAGTAACCATAGTCGGCTGCTATCAAAATGTAAATTCAAGTTTTTCGGACTTCTTTCCTTTCTATGGTGCTTCTGGTGAAGTGTTAATAAACGCGTTCCATTATTTTTATGCAGCTACCGATCGGATACAAAGAATCGAATACAAATCGTGAAGCATGAAGCCATTCTTCTCCCAAAGTAACAATTTTCAAAAAGTGTGATGTGTCATTAAGAACCATAAAGTTTTGAAATTTATATTTCTGTATTCTAAACGAAAGTATATAATATATCCGGCGTGTCTCGTTATCCACGTCCAACTTGGTAGCTTGTTAAAAGTAGCTATTATTCTCTACATTCGTGACGACATTCTCGAGTAGCTTGTCATTGTCGAGTAGCTATTTTTATGATATTTTTTTATTTTTACATATTTGCAATACGCGCGATACATTTCGAATTGGGATGAATCGAACATATCGGCGACGACTTATATTTATCGCGCGTGTATTACTCCTTTCGCATGACAGTAGTCGTGGTCCACGTCCAAGCGCGATAAATCCAGGCATATAATTGAAATCAATTAATTCGAAACACTAATAAAACGCATCGCGGAAGTGTACTCTCTCCCACTCCGCCAAAAAGTCGATAAATTCTCTCTCCCTCTTTTCTCTTTGCACCGCGGCGCGAGATATTCTTTGTTCGATAAATCAACGTCGATTTCATCCCTACGCGAGCATCAATTACAAGATTCTTCTTGAGACATTAATTTATTATCGCGGAGAAACGTAATCTCACGGGCGATTGATACACTCGTCGCTAACACGAATAACACAAAAACAATCGCCGGCTCTTCGCTAATAAAGAAAAAAGAAGGAAAAAGAGTGCGCGTTCAAGCAGCTTTTGGCAGCAATACGAAGGTACGTATGACGTCTCGTGAAGCATGTAATTTATTATCAAAGGATGCAAGACGTTCCAGATCTCAACCGTACTTTCTTTCAACTACGGATTGTTGAATCATTTTTTCTATGCAAAAATATATCGAGACAGATATCAATAATTCTTCAAATTACAAAGTGATTGAAAAAAAGACAAATGTTACTTTAAAAAAATTTAAAATGAGACGATTATATTGAAAAATATCTAACATTGAAAACTGTGAAAAAGACATCATATTAAATTTTAATCATCGTAAAAAATAAAACGCAATTGTATACAACTCTTTGTAAAGATCTGTTTGCAGCAAAGTTAGGCGAGTAAATTATAAAGCACGTAAAAAATTTTTTATAGAGATAATCAGAATAATTGTATGATAATAGATGAATGTTTCCGTATTATTTTGCAAAGGCTTCCAAATCCATAGAGTTTATAGCCGTTATTTGCCAATTTTGCTATGAGAACTAGTAAATAAATTGTTGTTACATTTCAAGATAATTTTACGATAAGCACTATTTTCATCATTAGAATTAATTCAGTGTCACAACTACCCTGATTAGAAGTGTGAAAAACCCAAAACACAGATCTCCTACATCACACCAAAGGCATACTCCGCTCGTATGCACGCACAAAACCGAAAGCATGCAACACACTCAAGAAGAAAAGCGCAGTTATCGGCCTGGGGGCGAGATGAATGCGTTTAACGTTGCGTCAATGCATGCCGCGAAGCGTCGTACATTATTTACAGCGTGTTGTCGCCCGGCGGGCCATCTGTAATGGCTGTTTTATGCTCCATTAAGATTACGACCGGTGCTCCTCGACCGGTGTACACCGTAGATTAGGATGCTCGGCAATCGAACTGATTTATTTCCCGGATATTCGGCTAGACCTGCACTTCGTTACCGAGTTAGCGTGACGACGCGCTCTCTCTCTCTGCATGGAAATTGGAGACCGCTGTTCCTCGTGAACTGTCATCGCCGTAAAACCGTGATTAGCCCCATAATTCCGCTGTGAGGTTCCGATATGCATCCACTCAAAAGTAAATGCTTGTAAAATTGTAGTTCGACATGAGCACAATAAAAAATATGTTTCAAGAGAGAAAATATTTTTGATATTATTTAAGAAATAATCAATTTCATATTTATTCACAGAATCCTTTAAAAATATGAGAATACCGTAAAGTTATTTCTGAAACAATTTTAGTTAACCGTTGGAAAATATCTCAACTTAAACTGCTGGATAATAATAGATTATATTTTTTTATTAAAAATGAGAGGATCCACTATCTTAATAAGAGCAATTAAATTTTTAATTTTTCACACGATATCATTTGCTCGTAACAGTACTTTACGCTGTATATAGTGACGTAGAATTTAAAATGCGTCTCTCGCATGAGATAAAACACGCGTTTATCTCCGAACACATAAATTTCGCACGAAACGGACTATCAATTTGCGGCTGATACTTTAATTAAAATATATTAGAATACTATGCCATTGTGAAACGTATGCATTTATTCTATCTAGGATCTAACAATAAGGTAGATAATGCAATTTTTCTCTAAGATCACATATAAATTTTTATACATAAAAATAAAATCTATGTTAATATATTTGAGTCTATAATAAAACCTAAAAACAAATTTATAGATAAACTTGATAAAAAATGCCTGATTAAAGTAATTCTCAGTCATTAATACAAAAGAGTTATATTAAACAAAGTAAATACAGATAAAGATCTAAAAGAGTATAGTTATTTCGAGTTTCATCCAATCTTCCGAGAGAATCACAAATAGAGCTGCCTGACAAGACCTTGTAAACGCGATACAACCAGCAATCAATGAAAATTGATATCCGATATATGGCGCATACTGAAAGGGTTAAAGCTACGCACGTGAGTTACGAAAACGCGATATTCGCGGAATATTACGTCAGTGTGAGAGAGGAAACGTCAATGAGAGATATCGCTCTTTTGACACAATAAAATCCGAAATCAATCCGATAGCCGCGCGTGCCAGCGGATTAGATGTCGATATATATAACTGCGGATCTCTGTCTCTTCAGGATATATCTCTTCCTTCACTTTTGGTAAATATTTTTAGCTAGCCGTCTTTTCTCTTATGTTCAATGTATATATACTATTATATTATAGATATTTATTAGATTTACTTATATACCTCTTTTACTGTTGCAAAGCTACTTCAAAATTACGCGTAACATAATGTTATTTTAAAATAGTGTAGAAATTTCTTTCCAGAAAATAGAATAATTTTCCTCTCGCTCCTTTTTATTCTTGAAACACGCAAGTGCAACGCATCCAAGCACTCGCGAAGATATATCGGATCGCTCGCGCGTACGCCAGATAATAAAATAAATCCGCCAGATAAACGAGCCACCGATGGATCACTGTGTCGCCGCTGCCATGGTCTGTTTTTCATAACGCATCGTACACCACGATAACTATACCTTTTAGCGCCGCTTCCCAATCTAAAGCCAAACAGGCTCTGAATTCTCATAGAAATAAAAGCAATGCAGGTTATCATAAGTTTGTGTAAAATGTTAATTTTTTTTTCATTTTCCGAACATAATTTATAAATTTTGAGATGTTCTCTATGCATTCTCTTTCTTTCTCTCTCTCTCTCTCTCTCTCTCTCTCACGCAATATTTAATATTATCATGGGTATAACGAATATTTTTATATTTCTTTCTATAATAGTTTAATTAGCTTATAAAACAAGATCATAGTTATGTGTGCGCTTCAAGATTAGATCTCTAAAAAAAAAATATCGCTAACATTGTTCGATATAATCCCGAAATTGACTAAAATACGTCGGCGCGTTTACCTTCTTCAATAAGAAGATGCCGTAATATACGAAGATGTTTAATTGCTAAAATCGTTTGCACTATATTTAATATTTCAAGCATGGCGTTTTACGCCCCATTTGCTCTCATTATCAACTACAGTCTTTATATCCTTGAAAAGGAGCACAGATAATTTTAACCCCATCATTATAATTGCAAATTGTATTAATGGATGTAAATGGAATTATTTTCCATGATATTTCTTAAATTCCTACTTATCAATTCACGCGAAATATTTTGTAACTAGAATCTAGAATTAGACCTCACTTTCAAATCACCTGCGCAAAGATTCGCTCTATATGTACATTTCTCCGCGTTTTTTATCAAACGATCAACGACCTCGATGAAAATCATGTCCTGGATTAATTCAGGATAAATTGAGAAGAAATGAAAATTAATGAAATCTTCGAAGAATTTTATATCCCGGATATCGGCATTAATCTCACCTATGTGTTATTTTCTGACTAATCACGGATGAAGCTCGAATCTTAAATGAATGACAGACAAAATATATATACATATATGCAACGTTGTATATCTAAGGTCAACCTCGCACCGATAAACGAGCGATCGAACTCCTGGCAATGGCAATGGCTCGGATGGGACACCTTTATCGGGACCCGTGTCGCGCTCTAGGTCAAAGCCATCGCGAAATAAAAAGCATTGCATACAAAATGATTGACATTACTCGCTCGAAACGCGTCCTTCGCTCTTTCTTCTTCTCGGCATTAATGTAATTCGAAAAAAATTTCCGTTCCGTTTCGAGTCTCGCGATACTACCGAGATATTTTCGTAATCGGAAAACAACCGACGTAAATTTCAGACTTTCATCGCCGTTATATTATTAGAGTACTGAATGGTTTCTGAACCAAATTAAACTTTCACATAAAAACGAAACAAACGTCCAGTCAGTATGAGATTTATCCCAATTTAAAAGAAGAAAAATATTCTACCGGATTTTTGTGCAATGATCTGAAAAAATTTTAAAATTTTAAAATTATTATTTTTTCTATAACATTATAATAACAAATATTGGCAGGTGCGAGATATTTTTGAAATATTTGTGATGTTCAAATCTACGGATTTTAAATTTCCGAGAACATATACATATGTAAAAATGTATATTTAAAAATGCATAAATAAGACAATGTGCACTTTTAAAAATTGTTCAAATTTTTACGATAATTATTTATCATCTAAACACCAAGTTGTCCAATTGTAAAAAATTTCTTCAAGGTAGATCCAGAATCATAATATTTCGGTATATTCTTCCGCATATACGATCGACCAAAGTGGATCCAGCAGCCCGCTTCTCGAATTACATCACGAATCGAAATTGACAATATATCTGGCAGCCAAGCCACATGCACGACAGCGCAATGATATCTTCGAGACATCCCCGAAGACTAGAAGAGGATAGTCTCTCTCTTTCAACAACCCGTGCGGCGATTTGTCCGACGAAATCGGCGATAGCTGGCGTGCGAGCATCGCGATTAATTCGCATCCCGGGAGACCGTAAATAAGCGGGCTAATAGCTCGATCAGTAGGGATGGGATCAAGTTCAATATGTGTCGATCACGAATTTGAATCAATTTTGATACTATTTTAATTCATTTCACAGAGTTGGGCAGGTATCACTCACATATAAAAAACTACGATTTTATTCTTCGTAAAAAGCATTATTTTTGGAGCCTAGAATGAGTAGGTGCAGAGTTTGAAGTTAATATATTAAATGGAAACAAATCGGAATAATGCTTGAATGAGAGGCATTACGATTTCGATGGAATCCAAGCAGTGAACTGATTATCATTATGTGATTGTCTAGTAATGTAGAATTATAAAGAGTTCTCGAAACGTCTCAGATTTCTACCCAGGTCATTTATGAGATAAGAATTTCTTTTAAAATCCGTCCCTTTTGAGAAAGCTTGGTCTTTGAGTAAACTTTTCCCTTTTGAAACCGCATTATTTTTGTCCTTCCTCATTTTGGCATTCTATTTCAGTTTCCACAGAAAACTTTCAAAAGTGATCGATGGTATTTCGTGTCGTCAAAACATCGTCTGAACGAAATTTCGCCATTGACCGTTATTGGAAATTTCACGACTGTTGCGAAATACTTAATCCCATCTCTACCGATTATGCGAACCGGGAAAGATAAACCGACGACAAGTCGCCGTTGACGATGGCGGTGATGGCGTTCTGGAACTAGTCGTGGTCGCACGCGTGCGATCGCGACTCCCTGGGGATCGGCGCAGTGACGGTACCGGGTGGCACAGGCTAGCATCCTTATCTCGGGGGAGCCGTGCGCCACAATCTCTCTCTGTATCGTCATACACTCTTGTCGACGTCTTCTCATCTGGAGGATTCGACCACCAGTTGCAGTCTCGGCACGACCCTCGACTAGTCGTGACGCGCGGATCGACGTTTCCGATCGTGTGTCATCTTTCGTGACACCGTCATTGTGCGAGGTTTCGAGAGTGCACAGTTTCGCACTCGCCGCGGCAAAATCGGTTTATCAGTATATCAGTAGTTTAGAAATTTAAAAATCGCAAAGTCTCTTTCTCTCTCTTAATTACTTATAACAAAAAAAGAAATATGAATGAGAAATATGCCATTAAATTTTTGTATAACGCTCAGGATACTTTATAATATGAACACTTCTTTCCTATTATCGAGAGACAATTTGAAAATCGTATGACATTGTGATTAATTAATACGAGCGAATCTCTTAACCGGACGTTTAAATATATCGCAAACAATTACTAAAGTTTGCTTTGTTAGTTTCATGCGAATCGTGATGCAGTGATTAATAAACAGATAATCGTGTCATGATAACGGGAAACACATCTGAATCGATCTTCAGAGTAATCATGTAAACTTCGGATTAAATTCTTATTTTGAAAATTATTATCGCACGTAGTCGCCAATTTGCATAAGAAGTACATGAAACAGACTTCGTATTTATTCGATAAATTTTTTAATATGATTGAGGAAGCTACGACGTTCGATGTGAGTATATGAAACATAATATATATTCCAATGCAATATTTAATTATCTCTACAATATGTATGTTGCCTTCGATAATGTCACGTTTCATCACGTGCATCTATTCTTGTATTACATCACATCATGTAAAAATTGTAGACTGTGTAATTCCCGCACAATTAAGAATAAAAAATTGACAAAATAATAGGATTAAAAAACATTAAAAATATCTACGAAATTATCTCATTGAAGTGAAGATGTAACATCGGCTTATATGCCGATATTAATCTACAGAGTCTTAAAATGCGTATTTAAAAAAAAAAAAAAAAAAAAAAAAAAAACATTTAATGATATTTATTTGTATAGATGACGGATGAACTACTCTTCTCCGCTCTGGGATTGACGATGGACACCAGTGTCGAAAGACAGCTATTCTCGCCGGTCAAGACAAATCTATCTAGCGATTACGAAGTATCGTGTACTCTGCTTAGCAACGATTTTGATATACACGATAGTGATCAGTTGAACGCGACAAATCCAAAAGATTGTTATACTGACTTAACTTGCTCTTTGCAATCATCTTGGAATGACTGGTCGACTACTAACACGCCTACATCATCAGGTATACATTTTTTCTTTTTCATTTATAAATATATAATAACATATATAGATATATACATACTAAATATAGTAATAATGATGATTCGGCAATATATTATTTCATAAAAGAATATACTTAGATGTCCATATTTTCCTTCGAAGGCAAAATTTAGATTTTAAACAGCAATAGAAAGAGAGAAAGAACGAAAGAGAGAGAGAGAGAGAGAGAGAGAGAGAATTGCAAATTTTATAATTATAAATTATAGAACTTTTAAAATATATATCAAATAATTGCAGGTTGTTTAAGCGAATTGAGCGAATTGGACTCTGAGCTAGATTGGTGTCTAGAGAGAAGCTGGGACTCTGGCCTCCCAGAAAGAACACCATTATGTACTGCAGGGTGCGAAGGCTTTCTGCATTTACCGCCTTTACCAAATTCACAACAGATGCCAAAATACGAAGAACCGTTGTTAGTACTCGGAATCGATTTACGAGCATTGGAGAACGAATTTGGAATAAATACGATAGGTACGCTATTACTAAAAAAATATTACCTCTCATTACGATTATTCCGAGATAGGAAGATTATTTAAAAATCATCCAATGTACAAAAAAAAGCAATCTACATTATATTATAATATTCTTGAATAATATCACGCAAGATTTTCTAAAAATAATCAACTACTATAGTATTTATAATCAATATTATATATCCAAAATATGTTATTATTTCAATAATCATATATAAAGATCGATTTATCTTGCGATTGCAGATTATAATAATAATCAGTTAGACAACGATCCTCTAATTCCATCAGCAGCTACCGCTGCATTAGCAACGCATGATTACACCAATCGTAGCTTAGCAAATGCAGCCGAAGATCGATGCTTTCCATGTACCTATCAAGGCTGTGTAAAGGTAAGCCTTTTTCGTGTGACACTAATATTTTGTTGATTATATCACGCTAAGTCAATTCCAACATAATAGTCGGAATATTTTTTAGAAAAGGAGCACAATCGTGGTTCAATTAAAATTTTTTATGATTTATAATTACGGTTTTATCTAAGAAGAAATTAATTCTCAAAATATGTATTTTTTTAGAAAATTATGGTTTCGTCAAAAGCGCGCAATTGTGATCTAATTAAAATTCTTTACGGTCCACAATTACAATTTTTACTTAAGAAAAGATTAATTCGCTGAAAAATAAAAACTACATCCTTATTACCTCGAATATTTTGGGCGCAAGTATCCCATATAATAATATTTATAATATTTTTGTAACATTTTTAGCATTTTTTTTTTCAGGTCTATGCCAAAGCTTCTCACTTGAAAGCTCATTTACGGCGGCACACCGGCGAAAAGCCGTTCGCATGCACCTGGACCGGTTGCGGATGGCGTTTCAGTCGATCGGACGAGCTAGCGAGGCATCGACAATCGCACTCGGGCGTTAAACCGTATCCCTGCGAAATGTGCTCCAAGAGATTCGCGCGCAGCGATCATCTGGCCAAACATCGTAAAGTGCACCGAAAAAACACCTATCCCTTATTCCATGGTGCTAGAGGACTGCGCGGCGACAAGATGAACGTTTTACCGACGGATTAATTTAAATCTCTAAGATATTTCGCGTTTCTTAAATTTTTTTTCCTGATCGATAAAGCTAGACAAAGCTTATCGTCGACGAGACAAGTTTTATGCTATAACATATAGCTTCTATATAAATCGACAAGTACTTAAAACGTTTCTATAAAAATAGTTAATGTAGAAATAACTTACCAAATAAATAATAATTCTTAACATTTTCGGCGGCTAATATTACTTGGATTTTCAATATATTTTTTACAATCTTAAAGAAATAAAAGATATTTAGTTTACTTAGAATCTTTCTAACGAAAACACAAGATAAACTAAAAAGTTATATTAAATTCAAAGAGAGATCAGTTCAATTTAATATTAATCCAATCAGTCCTATTAGCGGCAGTTAAAATTATTACGATAGGAAACTTTTATCGGCGATGTATATAGAGCAATAATAAATTCTAAGAAAATGCATTATTTGTACGTGTTTCATTTACATTCACAAATCTTAGATTTTTAATATATTTTTTATTAAAAACGGCACAGATCAATGCAATTTAATTGTTTTAAAATCGGCTTGTATGGATTCATTGTTTTAATAAGCGAATGGGTTAATAATTAATGTTTTAAAATACTTGCGCCCAAATGTTTTTAAAATAATATAAGCCAGTCTGTGGATTAACTCGTTCATAGGAAAAACGATCCTACTAATTAACATTAATTTTCTTACCTTCTCTTTTGCAAACGGCCGCCGAGAGTTTAGAACCTTACTTTGTTTCCGCCATGTGCCCCAATATGGAGGACGGCGATTTTCGCTAAACTGCAACAATTTCGGCCGATGCTTTTCCAAGTTACGCATGTCACTTATTATGTTGGAGCTGCCATCGTTGTCTTCGTCTGCACAATCAATTATATTTAAAATAATAACAGATAAAACATTTAGCAGATAAATTTATGCACAAACATTTTTTACCTAATAAAACGATATCATCATCCTTTGCTTCGAGCGGCCATGTTTTAGAGGAAGTACGAGGTATAATTCTTTCTTTTTTAATATTTTCGAGATAGAGTTCAGACTTTTGCACATCTAAATTGCACTTTCTATCTAATAACGATTTTTCTTCTTTAGTTAACGTTCTTCGACAGATCGGCGCGATTCTCATATCAGCCTTTATTTCGAAAGGCATAAAATTTTTCACTTGAATAACATCCTCTTCCTCCGATTTAATTTCCTGTTTTTTAGGAACAAAAAAACTGGCAAAATTGGAAGCTGCCTTTTGCTTTTTGCGTTGAGCTTCTAACTTTTCCTCTTCTTTCTTTCTTTTCTCTTCTTCCTTTGCTTCTTCTCGCTTTCTCCGTTCTTCTTCTTTTGCTTCCTTTTCCTTTTGTTTTTGTCTAGGAGTAATTTATATTTTTAATAAAATTTTAATAAAAATATTGTAAAATTATAAGATACAATTAAATATTCTTACTCAATTTCCATTTGTTTCTTAAGCTCTTTCAATTCTTTTTCCTTTTTCTTTTGTTCTTTCTCTTCCTCCCGTTTCTTGTCTTTTTCCTAAAAAATATAAAACACAAAATATATATATTCATATATCATATTTATATATCATATTCATATATTGTACATCATACACATATACCTTTTTTAATCTTAATTTCTCTTCTTTTTTTCTGGCAATTTCTTGCCTTTTTTCTAGTTGTTTTGGTGTTAGCTTTATAATTTTCTTGTTTGCAGTTTTGTCGGATTTTGGAGTAATAGGAGTTGCAGGTTTGCTGGTTATTTCTTCATTTCCTCCTTCATTCAATGTCGATTTGTCCAGTTCACTTGAATCTTCATTATCCGAAGATAAAATAGTAATATCACAGTCTGAGTTCTGAGAGAAAGAATGATCTGTGTCTTTACTGACAACCTTGATATCTTTTAATTGTTTGTTTTCTTGAGATAAATCTTGTAATGTAGATTCGGTTGCCTGTGTGCCCAAACTTTCATTCAAACAGATTTCATTTCCTTCTTCATGTACAAAGGTATTTTGATTTTGTTTATCTTTCAATTCATATAAACTGTCGCTTTCAGTCTCCTTGTCTATCTTTTTGAGAAACTTGGTTAAGGTACCAGATTTTTGTTCAGTTCTATCCAATTTCTTAGTCTTTCCTAGTAAACTCCTTTTAGGCGTAGTATCACTTTCTATTTTTTTTCCATCTTGCTGATCACTTTGCTCCAAGTTTTTCTTTGCTTCATCTAGTGTTATTATTTCAATCTCATCACTACTATTAAGTTTTTCTTCTCCTGCATTTTCTCTTTCATCTTCGAAGATATTTGGGACAGAATTTTCCTTTACTGTAAGTTTTATCATTTTAGAATTCTTAGATCCTACTGATGGTGATATTACTTTTCTCTTCTTTTTGTTAGACATATTGTTTGTACTATTTGGTGATTTAGAGGCACTTGATATTTGAAATGGCAATTGTGCTGAAAGAATAAGCAATTAATTAAATATTTGTACCACAATATATATATATATATTGTATATGTGAAAACTTACAAGTATTGCCAAAAAAGTCAAAAAAAATGTAGAAATAGGGGTCGGAGTAGGTAATATAAGAAAGCTCTGTTCTTGCACTAGACCACCTGTCATTATTGCAGATTTAGCATCTTTTAACCATCCTAAATGTTTCCATATCACAGACAGCATTTTTTCTGCACCAATATATAAAGCCCAACCATTTGCAGCCCAGTACGAATGTACCAAGCCCCTTTTAAATGGAAATAAACGGGAAATCACCTGATAAAAAAAGCGTTATATTTTAAAGTATTAAATAAAATAAAAGAGAAAGAGAAAGAGAAATAGATCATTTATAGAATAGTTTGCGACATATTACCTGTGATAATTGAGTTATGAAGGGACCAAAGGATGCTATTAAAACAGCCAGAACAATAAGCCCAAGTGTAAATAGTCGTTTAAAGAATTTGCCACTATTTAGACAATATGATTTTAGCAACCAGACAATGTATGCTGGTGCTATGTACACATATAAATGTTTTAAATTGAGCAAAATAGCAAACCATATGGCACCTTGCAACACTGACATCTAGAAACAAACTGCTTTTTACCATAAGTAAATTCCAAAGCATATTGCAAAATTTACCTCTTTTCTAATCTTTGAAACTTTTGACATTGATATCAACAAAATTCCAAGTAAAAAACCATTGTATTGAAAATGTATATGGTCGACTATCAGTAATCCCATGTTACACAGTGATAGAAATATAAAAACTGCATGGTCATTCCAAGACTTGCAGAATGTCCCACTTGTTCTACAAGAAAATACTTAAATTTAGATATTAGATAATTTTTACATGGTACAAAATTCTTAAAAATTGGGTTTTTTCAAGAAAGCAGTATCTCTATTGATTTTTAAAAAAACATATTTTTGTGCTAGTAAACTTTGTAAAAGACAGATATTTATTTTTTCCAATTTTTATTTTAACAAGCTATATCTTTAGATAAATTATTTTTTATCTTATGGGGAGATATGTTGTTTTTTGAAGATTTTTAAGATTTATCTAATTATTACAAATTTTTGTTCACAAATATACTTACTCTCTCACTCCATATGCAAGTATCAGATCAGCAAATATGACAGTCGCTCTTTGGAAATATACAGTAGCTGGTGATGCATAATTTAAATTCTCCACTTTGACCATCTCTGGATCGAAAAATGCAGCCATTTGGCTAAGGCAGTACTCAAACCATGCAAACAAGGGTGGATAATCAAGAGTCCATGGAGATTGTGTATTCACGTACCACTCTTTAACAGGTAAACTGGACGTGATGGCCAGCCAATTGCGATGTACTTCAAAATCGGTGGAATGACTACAAGTTTAAAAAATGATCATAAACAACAATTATATTAATATAGAAACAAATGATTCCAGAATGAACGAATTGGAGCAATATGAAACTAAAAGATTACTTACTAAGTAGGAATCAAGAGGATCTTGATGCAAGTAACTAGTAAAAAGGTTTTCAAAATCACACCGTCCCTCGAAGCAGCGGAGGAGACTTCTTCATCCCGGTTTATCTGCGTTTCTTTCAAAATATTTTTGCTCCCGGTCAACATGTTGCTCAACCAAACTTGCAATATGCTACTTATCAACGTCAACTCATCACAAGTCTCGATATACTTCGCGACAGTATAATACTCCCATCAGATAATACTTCAGTAAATAAGTTCGATGACGAAAATATCATCAAAACGATAAATTTATCGTTATTGCATAAACACATGCGAATACGTTTATAAGTGAGGTTAGATACGTGACAAATAGTTGTAGGTTAGGTTCGCCAGGCGAACGGAACTGCCGAGTTATGGCACTTATGGCTACCTCTAGGTTGTTGACGACTCTACGAAGGGTCGTATATCACGCTCAGGATTTCAATAAGTATTGCGTGACAAGTGACCTTCGGGACGTACGTCGAGCATTTAGCAAGAAGTCCATCCTCGAGCAGGATGATGCGACTGTCAAGAAGCAAAGACCGAAGACGGTACCAGTGCCAAAGATCACGTTGTTGTCACTGAACGATTCGATCACTGTGACAGTGCTAGAGCATGCTCAACGTTTGGCGAAACGTCGCAAGCTCACTCTCGTCAAGATCAGCGACCTCGACAGTAAGACGCAACGACCGCTGTACAAGCTGATGAATAACTCTGTCTTCATCGAGGAGGTCGAGAAGAATGTCGAGAATGATGACAAAAACGAGCAGAAATCCAAGGATACTAAACTGCTCTACATATCTGCAAAGATCGCTCAGAACGATTTGTTGACGAAGACAAGAAATGTGGTGAAATTGTTGAATAAGGGGCACAAGGTTAAGATTGTCATCACCCTGGATGGTATCAATGAGGTGAGTTCTTTGATTTTTCTATCACTTCTTTCTGTAATAGAGGAATTGATTTACATTGAGATAACTTAAATAAATTGTCAAACTAAAATACACAGAGTATTCTCTTTCTCCCATTATATAAATTTTTAATTACGTACAATATAAAAGATAATCTTTTATATTCTAGAATTTTAAAGAGAAGTGAAAGAAAATGTAATGTTTATAATACTTTAGACTTTTGATTTTTCTATAATTCACGATAAAATTCAAGACGGAATTTTATCTGTAATTTGATGTGCCAAATATGTATGTGTATCCTAATATATATTTTGTATATATGTATTTCACTTCCTCAAATAAAATTATAAATAAAATTCTGTCTCGATTTTTTTTTTTTTTTTGCAAATTATATATCGCCCAAAATGGACATAGAAAAATTATTTTATGTATTTTATGTGTAGGATAAGACCCAAAGTATTGTAGAGGATGCAGTGAAAAATTATGGCAATATTCAACGAATGCCATCAAAGAAAAATGTTGTTTTGCTCCTAATAAATCCCGTGTTAAATAAGAATAAAGACAATTTTGTCGATAATAAAGAAGTGACTGGTACAATTAATTAAAGTAATAATGTGTGACATTTATCGTTTGATGAATTAAATAATAATTTATCATAATTGTCAGAGACAAAAGAATAAATTCTGTATACATGTAAAGAATAAGATATAATGTATATACTTATGTGTTAAGTACATTTATAGTGATTAACTTTATTATGAATATATTATAATAGCTTTACAAAAGAATAACATTTTTAAATAGTTTTTTTTTTCTGTACTATATCTACGATTATTGTCAATGAAGAGAATTTTATGTTAAGATAACTTTTCATTATATCCACTAAACAAACAGCTTACTCTCTACTGATATGTCTACGGCGCATTATATTTTAAGATATAGTGGTTCTCGCGATCATTTTAACTGAAACTATTACAAACTTTGGTCTTACATTGAGATCTGCAATGCATAATAAATGCTACGAATATGACAATACATAGTACAAATAAATGTTATGATTACAATTGGTCTTTTTCGTGTTCTAATGTGTTTTACTATCCGCGCTAAAAAGGGACAACTCTTATTTGATGTATAATGTTACTGTGTTATATATATTATTACAACTTTGACCCTTTTGCTGCAGTTAAGTAGGTATCAAATGACATACATAATAATTTGCCTTCATTTGTCACGAAAAACTATATGAGTATTCCACAGACTTCTATATATTATATATATAGAATGTATAGAATAATATATAGAAGTCTGTGGACTATTCGATATTATTACAAGAGTATAATAATTGCAAAAATTCTAACATTTTCTTTTTTCTAAATACAACAGCACAACTAATGCGATTGGAATGCACAAATCCATTTTGCCTTAACTTAATACCATCAGAAAATAATGTCATGGTTAAGTAAAATTGTATTAAATATACTATTGAGTAATTCAGCATCGACACGATGAACCGCAAAATGATACGCAAATGGCACGATTTTCCTGTGCGTAGTAAATTACACTGGAGGACAGAGAATGGACATAATTATGCGATGTAGAAACAAGTCTATATGTATAAACCCGTTTTGTTTTTTTTTTACTACGGTCTTTTTACAAAAGCATTACAGATAAACTACTATTTTCTATACAAAATAATCAATGCTTCTCTTTTAAGTACTATAGTTAATAAGTATTAAAATATTCATAATTTCATATCAAATAAACGACTTCGTCGTTTTATTTGCTGTCTCTTTGATTTTTATCATTAATTCTATTATTACTTTCGTATTAAAACTTAATAAAATATTGCTGTCGTCCAGTATCACCTATTCTCCAGTGATTCTATTCTCCGATAATTTCGATACAGATACATACTTCTATCTCTCCTGCACACGTTTGTAGATTTCAATTATATTATAATATTTAAAAAAGAGTGTCACCACTAGTAATCAGTCTAACGACAAAGTCATATAAATTCCAACACATTCGAAATAGACGCACTGTGCAAATCGTAATAGCCTATTGATATAGAATAGTGATAGAATGCAAACACGCCGGCATTCGCGTTACTGTGGACAATCTACCCTGCTGCATTTTTTGAATTCCGCCAAAGTCGGACAGAGTTTGGCCCAGGATCCACGTGGTTGCACCATGATACTTCTGACCCTAGTTCGCAACGCCTCGCCGCAAGTCGCACTGCATTTCGACCATGTTGACCACGGTGTCACTTTGCAATTCACTGAAACTTTGTACAGAGCGAGCGATGGTTATAAATAAACAAAATTGACGCGATTATCCTCTTTCTAAAATTTACATTTTATTGAGCCAGTCAAATGCTTAATTGCCAATTGTGCCTTAATTACTTGACCAGGTTTTATATTCGTTTAATGTCGATTATATATTTATTCTGGTTCAGCTGAATATATAACAAATAAATATATTGTTTTTTTATATAGAAGCAGTTGTGAAACTTTAGTAAAAGGCAAATTACGAATTCATAAATTCCAAATTTAAATGATATTTTTATTTGATGCTATATAATACTCACTCTCATGCTCGTTTCCGGTCTTTTTATCTCGATGAAATCGGCGACCTGTTCCATCACCTTGTAAAGCTAAAAAAGTAATAAGATTTATTTATAAAATAAGTTAATAAAGTTTATTTCTATATATTTAATTATTATATTGTCTCTTTCTCTTCTGAGAAAAGAGCTGAAAAGCTAGAACTAAAAAAATTTATTTTTTCGCACTTTAAAATACAAGATTTTAAGAAATAATTTTGTAAATAATTTAATATCTATTTTCACGTGTATTTCAATGATAAATTATATTATAGTAAAAGAATTTAAAAAAAGTACCAATATACTCACAGCATGGCGGAATCCTATGACATTTCTTTTTTCGGAGAAGTTTTTTTGAACAGCTTTTACCCCCATCTTGGGCTGGAATCTGCTCGCAATATAATCACATTTTTGTACGATAAGATATATGAGATATATCATCCTTTTGTAATTAATTCAATAAAGTGCATATATATGTACATAATATAATTTAAAATAAATCGAAACAATTAATTGTCAATATTTGTTACTCTAATATTTGAAACATTATTATTTTTACTTCGTACGATAAGTATCGATGATGGTATATGCGAATAAAAGTTTATAATAATACCGTTATCGTCCTGGTGCTAATAGTGTATCCGCGACAGTTTTCACAGCGCGACCATTTACTCCATTCAGAAACCTGACAGTCCACTTTACTATTCTCACTCGATTCCATTATCTGACTGCCCGCTTGAATGCCTCTAAAATCTTCCTTTTCTGTGAGAAAAAGAACAAAGTAGGATAATCTTCGACGAGGCAGAAATATTCGTGCATTTATTTCAATTAATGATTTTTAAATTTCCTTAAAACCATTTTCCGTAAGAGCATAATCGAAAGTTCGCTTTGTAAACGTTACTCTGATATTCATTAGAGGAATGTCAAATAACTTTTGCATAAAACAAATTATCACCATATTGCGCTCTCTTCGCTTTTGCGCTGCGCTGCTCCTGTACGGGAATATGATAGCTGAGGACGCTGCTAAGGGATACCTTAAGATTTTTCATGATTGCCGATAGATTCGCCTTCAATTCTCCTGAATTGGTTAGTAAGCGTGTACAGAGTATAAGAAATAGTTATTTGTGAAGAAACGCATTCTCTTTTAATTCGATCGCTCAGATTTTCCATTATTCGAATTATCTTCGTCAATTCAAAAAGATCATCAATGTTCTATTATAATTTGATATCAAGATCATACACGTAAGGGACATGTATAGATTGTAAAGCATACCCATACAGCACAGAACGTTGTAACAACATTGCAGCAACATTGCAACATTGTAGCAACATTGCGGCAATGTTGCAAATGTTGCTGCAATGTTCTGTGCTGTATGGGTAGTTACAAATCTGATTGCAAAAGTTGTTTTTGCAGATAGCAATTGGTAGGAAATTTCAACGATGTACGGAGTTTCATAATTAATAACGTTATTATGATACGCTGATAATAGTGCGGTGAACACATGGGATGCACGTTATCGAATAATCGAGTTAACTTACTTTGGAAATTTCCGCAAACATTATTGCAATCCTGCTCGGTCGGGAAATTATTTCGATTACCGTCACATCCAGAGTAGCTGAATAAGTGGCAGCGGCTGCTTTGTTTGTCAAAATAGGCTCGTAATATGTTCGAATTACAACGTCCCTTCTCCATGGGTTCGCTACAGATCTCTGTAAATCAATGACGATTTCATTGTATAGTTATATGACACAGAAATAATTAAACGGCGAGATGTACAACTCTAATAATGCTCGAAAATGAGATACGATAATGACGAGATTAAATAATGAATTGCTGTCTTAAAAATTTCACTAAGCAAAATATTTCCATATATTTCCAAATCGAAGCCATATTTTTTTTGAACTATTTTATATATCATGAAATTTTTTATTATGAATTGAGAAAATCCATTATTTCAGCTTTTTGGGCCATCGTATAATTTTTTTGTTTTGTTTTTAAATATCATATTATTAAGTAATCTTATAAAATAGTTAAAAGTGTATGTGAAATAATTAAACGGCGAGATGTACAACTCTAATAATGCTCGAAAATGAGATACGATAATGACGAGATTAAATAATGAATTGCTGACTTAAAAATTTCACTAAGCAAAATATTTCAATACGAGGCCATATTTTTTTTGAACTATTTTATATATCATGAAATTTTTTATTATGAATTGAGAAAATCCATTATTTCAGCTTTTTGGGCCATCGTATAATTTTTTTGTTTTGTTTTTAAATATCATATTATTAAGTAATCTTATAAAATAGTTAAAAGTGTATGTAAACGTTCTACGTACTTTCTGCTTCTTCTCTGGAGAAGTCGCAGCTCGGAATTTCGGCTACACATGACGCCTGCTGCACCTTGCATTCCTCGTGGCTGTCATTGTCGTCCTTATTGCTGACAATAATTTGTAGCAAGCACTTGGCAATATCTGTTAGAACAGACGTGGCTGACTGGGAATCTTCTAAAATAGTTAAAAGTGTATGTAAACGTTCTACGTACTTTCTGCTTCTTCTCTGGAGAAGTCGCAGCTCGGAATTTCGGCTACACATGACGCCTGCTGCACCTTGCATTCCTCGTGGCTGTCATTGTCGTCCTTATGCGAACCGCTGTTTGAGTCATTATGCAGCCTAGATCGCAACTTGACACCGGGCCCACAGCTGGAACTGCACGGCGACCAAATGCTCCACTCGGTGTAACGATTAGTAGGACATCTCTACGATCAATATAAATTAAAATTTGATCAATCAACGTGAAAAAACAGCTATTAATCAAAAGTATTGTAGAAGCGAAACTCTCTTTCTCTCTCATTAGTTCTCTTTCATTTCTCAAGATTTGCGTGTGAGATTGAAAAATCTTTCAAACTCGCAAATTTTCATGAATCGTAGAATCTAGTTTTACTTCACGAATTACTTAACTGTTGCCTGAAAGTGATGTACATTAAGAGAGTATAATGAGATTGCACTTCTAAAAACGTATAAAAAAAATGTTGTGAATATGAATTTGCTTCTTCATCCTTGCTTATATATTGCCAATCTTCACATTGATTGCCGAAATTTACTTATTCACTTATTAGCGATGTTTCATTCGCAATTCTATAAGCTGATTTAATGACACGTGAGTGTAATATTCGTTATACGATAATTGCATATAAAGTAGCATAAATGTGTAATTGATGGTGATAGCGGTTGCTATTAAATTAGAACGCATTATATCGATTCGTTATGATATCGGCAATGTATTTCGTGAGAAAATAAAATAATAAACTAATAAGCACTGATTTTTATACATTTATCTCCTCATTTTTTTGATAGCAGGAATATATTCGAAAATTTTTATATCTTTCAATGCAATATTCGAAGCGCTTTATGCACACTATATTATTATTTCTTGCATAGTTTATCGACGTTCTATGAAAAACAGGATTAAATTTTACGCTGTGAAATGCAAATTTCTTTCCTTACGATATCGTGTGACTTACATGAGGATGCCGGTGCCATGGATGGATCTACGAGAAATGGTGCAGGTATCGATTACTCGTGCGAAGCTATCGTTGCTCTGGCTGTGTCTGATGATTTAATACTTAATAAAGCTGATAAATTCGTTTTAATACATATCGAGCGGATCGTTTATCTCTTCTGTATTTTGTAGAGTGTAGAGAAACGATGTTCGCTTGATATCTATTAGATAGAATACGTGAATGTAGTTAGTCATAGCATGAGCAAACTTTTCGACGAAACTGATTCAAATTGTTGGAACGTATTTTACATTCGAATGAAGCACAGGAAATGAATATCAATTAAATGCAGTTTAGAGATCAAGTTCAACTTTACCAACGAAATAAAGCCAGAAATTTGCATATAACTTCAACGGCGATTATTCTAATGAATTGATAAAGTATGAAATTATTTGACAATTAAAGGATTGTAGCATATTAATTCTCGAAGATGTAAATAAATTTTCAATTAGAGGGAAGAAGAATTCTCAAATATTTGTTTTTCTGAAATATATATAAATATAATTCTGTAGAGATGAAATTTTAACAAAGATTTAATGTGTGATTTGAAATAATAATAGTAAGCTTTATATTATTAAGTTAAATATTAAGATTAATGTTAAAAAAATTTTCGAAAAACGATAAAGTTCTTGCTAAAGAAAAATTAATATCATATACACGGAGATTTTTATATACATGAATACTTTAGCGTTTTAAAATCACAGATTATATTTTATTTTTATTTAGCAGCTATGTTATAATAGAGGATTTAATTCGCATATCCGAGTCGCGAAATCAAATATATATTTCAATCAGTTTCGTCGGTGAAATCCATTCCTATCAGCCCTGATATCTCTGAATCTTTCCATACCTGCAGCCATTCCTCGATTATCTCTCCGCTGTTGTCTGCTCTCTCAGCGACATAGTTCTTATCCTCATCATTGACGTGAGACGTTAAGAGATACAGTTGCCTTACCTCTTCCGTGTCTTCGCCTTCGCAAGGCTTGTTCTCGCAATCGACCGACTGCTGTAGTTCCGGCGCGTTCGGCACGGCCTTGCATTGCTTCCGATACTTTTTCAGCTGGAAGTTTCTAGATCGCGTTCTGCTGCCCTCGCCACAGCTGGACGAGCACGAGCTCCACGCACCCCACGGTGTTAACTTGCAATTTTCGCTGTCTAATAGACCATCGTGACGACTGTTACCGGTGCTGGCGAATTATAAGTATCATCATTTTGCGAGAATATAAAATACGAGTCATTATCAGCCACGCAGTGTAAATAGATTCTCTCTATTATATATTCAGATATAGTTTAAAACCTTTTCTGTCAACAATATCAGAAAAATAAATAAAAATGTTGACACTTTTGATAGATGTGAAAATAAGAGAATTTTTCTCATTATATTCGAGAATATAACACAGAAAAGATACGAGATCTTCTTTAAAAAATATAAAATAAAAATAAAATTTGTGCAATCTATGCTATAAAGAAGAAAGTTGAGAAAATTGATAGATTAGTTCTTAGTTGCGATGTAAAGATTATGCTATCGTCCTCATTACCAGTACGGGCTTTCTGCGTTATAACAGCGTTTCCGACCCGTTAAAGGTGTATTGCATTTATTCGCAGCAGCTTCATCGCGGAATTTACGTTGTCTCAATTGAATGCCTCTGCCACAGGTGACCGAACACGGGCTCCATTCCTCCCAGGGCGTCACTTTACAAGCCTCTATACATAAAATGATTAATTACTTTTTCTAGAAATTTTGTATAAACTGTATATATTTAAATTTCATAGCAAGATACTTGAAAAAAAGAATTATGTCATTACTTATTAATATTGTATTTCGAACAGAAATAAATTCACAGAATATAAATGTCTTACCTACATATAAAGTAAATTTATCATGCAACGCATATCCATGCGGTGGAAATACCAAATAATATATTATAAAACCAAAAAATATAAATATAAACGAATTTCGCAGAATAGAAAATGTCTTTTGTACGAACGATTGCTTATACAAACCATTATTCTGTTTAAAAGCCTTTTGCAAACAATTTAGGAAATAATAGCTAAAAATTATGCGTATCTGTATGTAACATGGAGATTCATGATAAACTTTACTTTTATACCTTAACTGTTCAATTGTACAGAATTTCATCCACGAGTTTTAGCACGGGGTTTTAAAAGTAACGTTTAAAATTTTATATCTTAAAAATTTTTTTGATATTGCTGAAAAAATTATGAACTGGACGTTTTCATAAAATTTTTAAGTGATATAATTAATCTTTGTTATAAATTCTCCACGAGCACGTTTGAGAAACAAAATAGTTTTTGTTAAATGAAACGACACTTGCTATCTTTGTTATTTGAATGCACTGCACCTGCATCAGCCAGTATATCAACCCCAGCGTCATCGCAGGTCTTCTCGTATAGTCTCTGTCTGTTCAAGCAGAGCTTCGCAAGGGGTTTCATATCCAGACCAGAAGGATCGTAAAAGGGTGATCTCGAATCATTTGGATACGTCGACGTGATACGTCGAATTGGTTCCGGTGGATCCGTCGGCAAATCCGGCGACTAAAAATTAAAACAAAGTAATCAAAGATAAATTTAATAAAATAACTATAATTGTTTATCATAAAGTAAGTACAATATTTTTTAATATATTTTCCATTTAATCGAATTCGCTAGTATTATTCCTCGTGTTTCTCCATATTTTGCAAGACATTACGATGCGCAACAGATGCGGCGCGGCAATAAATAAATTAAATCTGTTGTTATAATTAAAAATTTCTCGCGAATAGCGCGTGAAAACACAAAATTTTTCAAAATGGCAAATAGAAAAGGTTATACAAAACGAAGTAAATTCTCGTATAAGGTATAATCTCGAAAGAGTGGAGGAAGTGTAAAATTGAACGGCGTGAGCGATTCTAGTCTGCGATCGAGATGGCTATTGTGAACTATTGGAATCGGACACTCTCCCGCACGTCTAGAAATTATTATAGGGTCGGTGTTGACAGGTGATGTGATTTTTTCTTGTTTTGAACCTGTACAATCTGCACCCGTTTGATGAAACATGTACGGACATTGATACAAAGATAGAGTCGAAAATTTATCCTATGTAGCGAAACGCGCGAAGTCACATGAGCGTAAGTGGACATGAAATTTTTATCGGTCATCTCGTAGAATCACCAATACAAAATTCACGTAACACGAAAAATGTTGTAACGAAAAAGAAAGTAAATTAAGATTTAATACGCAAATTATATATAGCATAATGAAATATTTCGAGAGAGAAGACGGCCTAGAGAAAAAGAACTATCTCAATACTGTTATAATCTATTTATCTATTAAATCGTGATAGATAGGATATTTCTCGCATCAACCGCACTTCCTTTAATCTGCGAATTTTTTGGGTTGATTTTTGAGCCGATTTTTTCTTTATAAAAATATTAAAACAAAAATGTCAATCTTGAGTTATAAACGATTAAAAATAAAAATACATGTATATTTGCTTACCAAATATGTGATACCATCATCGGTACCAGCATCATAAGGATAAAGATTATATTCTTTGCGAATTATCCAAGAACAATTCGGTAAACATAGTTCAAGACCGGAGACGCCAACAATCCAATCCGGCGAAGGATCTACAAAGAAAAATCGTTTATCGATAATAAATAAGAAATTATTTCTTAATTTTATGTCTTAAATACTGAAAGGAAACAATAAAACATCATTTCTACCTCAAGAGATTTAAGTCTATAATGTAAAAATAATTCTTAAAATAATAAAAGAATCTTACCGATTTTTGAAACCAAGGACATTAGATGATGCTTGCGATCCACACGAAAAACTGCGAAAGTCCTACCCGTCACGTTTGGATAAGCGATGCCTCTTGCTTTTATTATAGTCCTAATGTGTTCGCTCCGATTCTTTAATTCGGACTCTAATTTTCTCGTTGTACCAACCTCAGCCACCTGCTGCAGTCCGGCACTAGCCATATATGCGTGTGTATGTAGTATGCCATTGTTACTATATCGCCAAAATCTGTAGTCACCAGTATGCGATGCACCGATTACGTCCGAAAAACGAATTAGCCAACCTTTACTTGGAAAGTCCTATAAGAAGAAAATCATAACGATCATAAATTCCGAGAGTGCGTCGATTATATGAAAGCTCTTTACAAACGATCGATCGCTTCACGATTTCAGATATATCGGGTATTCTTATTTTTTACTCGAATACAAAATCATTTAATGATCCAGTCTTTAATTATCCATTTGTTTTTAATTACTTTGGGATGAGTATTGCGTGACCATAATCCTTCAAAGGTCACTTCATATTTGGCTTCGTCGCAGGCGCAACATTCTGCCAGGACAGTACCCTGATCATCAGCTTCCGCTTTTGAGTCTTGACACATCTTGAGGATTAAACTTGGGTCATCCATGTACCATGTATCTGCCGTTTCCATTACCGTCGCTCTACAATAGAAAAAAAAAAGAAACAAAACGGAGGATAAATATAATCTGCACGCATGTTATCACTGAATTTATGAAAAATTAATAAATTGTCAAATAATAAATAAAAAATAAAACAAGAGAAAAGATAGAAATAATTCCTTATTGTTAGAGAAAGAGCTCTCTCAATCAATAAAGGATGAATCAATAAAATTACGTAAACACAATATCACTTTACATTATTATGTAATAAATATAGCACATATAGATATATTAATAGTATGATGTTGCACAATACATATTTCATAATATGCATGCATTTACATATTATATTAGCCTATTTTTAATGAGAAATATGTTATTATTATTCCATCTTATTTTACGATATTTACTGCGTAAATAAATTTGAACAATAAATATATTTTCTATCTTTCTGCAAGTTAATTCCAAATCCAATTTTAAAATAAAATATTCTTTACATTACATACTATATTCATAATTTTAAATATATGTAAATAAAAAATATTGTAAATTACAAGTATATTTTATATATTTTAATTTACCAGAACAACACAGGCGCGCTTTTTTTTATGGACATTTTCCAATTTTTGTAACTTTTCTTTCCATATATACATATATATAAATCTAAACTTTTTATTATGTTTTATTATTTTATAAAATTATTAATAACATTATATTTAAATTTATGTATTTTATATAAAAAGCGTTAATATTATCTACTGTAATTAATATTAATGTCGTACAAAAATATTATTTTTGGCATTTGTATATTGTGTTAATATTGCTTCACCTGATAAGTATGCAACCGCTGTCTTCATTAGGACTAGTCCAAGCGACACTTATTTCTTCTTTCCCAACCTTTGATGTTTCCACGATGGCGTTTGCGCAATTATCCGCAAATTTGGTCAATCCATCATCCTGAAGATCGAGCGTGCCGGCATCGGCTGTCTCATTCACATTTTCGGACTCGGCGGATATGAGGAATCTCGTGAACTTCCGGTGCATCTGATCGGAACCATGGGTCTGTAGGACCACTAAAATAATCGACGATCTTTCTTTAATATGCTCGTACTGCATATCTCGTTTAATAAAATCATCGTAAGATAATTTGAGTCGATGGTCCAATATTATTTTAAACAATTAATATTTGTAGATTTATCCGTAATAATTATACATATACTATAGGAAAAAATAAAATTTTTGGAAATAATAGAATTCAATAAAATGTTTTTATATGCAATGTTTTTACATGAAATTCGATAAAATAATAATTTAATAAAACTCGCGATGTGTAACAATATACATATTTTCTATCGCTACGCGGCTCGATATTATTAATTTGTATTGATTAAATATGTTTTAATTATGCAATTAAAATATATCTGAAAAATTCTCTTGCTCTTTGTTTAAAAAATTAATTATAATTTTCGAAAATGATTAATAATTTCCAGTTTTTAAAATTTTTTATTTGTAATTGATTACAATCTAGAAGTGTAATTTTGACTTCAAAAAATATTTTTACTTATTAATATAATTCTTACTTAT